CAATCTCAAGACCTCTGCAAAGCAAGGCAATTCTCTTCCCTGGGGGTTTAGAGATCTGCTAGCAGTGGAATTGCAGGGTGATCACTTTTTAAAAAATGACATGCAAGGAAAAAGGGAAAAAATGCATATTTCCATATGGTAATGTACAGATATAGGTATAAACCTGGGGAAGGGAATCCATAATTTAAACAGAATTACTATTTGTAGTGTCATTGGGAGAAATGCTGTGACCAGGTGAGCTTTGTGTCCACAGAAATGGCTGATCCCTTGTGTTGCCTGACTGGGCAAATTGAGAGTCTTTGGTCTTCCTCCTTACAGTTCTTTATTTCTGAATCAGATTTGGAATGGACAGCTGCTTGAACAGAGGATACCTTCAAATATAGGGCTGTCCTCTCTAACATGGGACAATGGCTATTCTGCTAAATAAACAATACAGTACTGAACTCAACAGACCAGTAATGTTCTCATATACTCTCATTTCACATACCTAGGCATTTGTTTTGTCTCTTGTTTATTTTCAGGCTGTAAGTCTGAGCTGAGAACTCACTTTACCTTTTCGTAAATTGCTGAACACACAATCGGAGCACGGAGCAAACATTCTGTTTTAAATTGCTATCTTGTATTTCAGAAGCAGGCCCTAATAATGATACTATAGGATGACATCCTCCTCCACATTAATTTTTAATTTTAATGTTCATTGTTTACCAAGGGAAAACAATCAACACGCAGAAGCGAGTCCCTTGGGCAGTTCTGCCTAATCAGGAACTGCTCAGACTGGGAAGCAGGGAAATCCCTCCATCCATCCATCCCTTGACCTGGACGTGCAGTTCTCATCCAATTTTTTTTTAAAAAAAAACCCACCATGCTGCAAGCAATACTGCCATTCTCATCCAGTCTTGCCCCCACCGTCAAGTCACTCACTTCCTCTTCAGCCTACTTGCTAACCAGATTGTCAGGACTCCTGCAGCCTTTGGAGTTTCATGATTGTAGACCAGGGGTGTCCAACCTTTCACCTTCCCTGGGCCACATTAGAAGATGAAAATTTGGTTTGGGCCGCACATACATTTGGTTTGGGGCACATGGGGGGGCAGCCCTAGCCATCCTCCGCAGCCCCGCTCCAAGCGCGCTTACCGGCAGCTGCGATCTCAGACAGCAGAGGCTGCCAGCTTCAACTCCGGTGGCTTTATGGGGCCAGGAGGGGGGTCCACCTATTGACAGGGACGGTGTAATGCAGTCACGCAGCACCCCTCCCCTCCCGCTCTTTCCTTCCTTCCCTCTCTCTCCCCCTACCATTGTGACGTGCCCTAGCCGCATTCCAGCTGCAAGTGCCGGCAGTGTAACTTGAAACTTTGGAATTTCTTTAAAAATAAAAAATTGCACTGGGCCGCATTATGAGCCGACCTGGGCCGCATGCGGCCCTCGGGCCACAGGTTGGACAAGCCTGCTGTAGACTTCAATTCTGAAGTTCTGTGCACTTTTCTATGTACATCAACCCTTTTGATTTTAAGTTATATTCAATGTGACCCCATCTTCCTCCCATTTGTGTGGGAGGAATATGGCTGGAAGCAATCTACTCAAAATCAAGAAGAGGTACGCTAAATGAGGAAAGTAGGATTAAATAAAACACTACAAACCAGACCACTCTCCATTCATTCATTCATTCATTCATTCATTCATTCATTCATTCATTCATTCATTCATTCATTCATTCATTCATTCATTCATTCATTCATTCATTCATTCATTATATGTATTTTTTTGTTCCAGAACAAAGGAATGCTTCAGCTTTTAATGAGATAAAAACACTTGTATGAGTGCTGCTATCATATACCCTTGATGCTTTGGTTTCATGGACACAAATATTCCCTAGGAAACCCTCAATTTGGGGGTCTTAAAAGAGTGCTACAGAACATACAGGAAGTGGTGGTTCTTTTTAACACTGAGGTTTATCCTCTGCTCTATCCCATGAACTTATGGCAGATTTCGTTATACTGATTTGCTTGTACAGGAAGAACACAAATAGTAGTTTGATTTACATTTAGACCTAATATCTGAAAGCTATAATTTCTTTATAAAGAAGGCTGTGGAATGTGCATTTTTACAGACACTTTGGCTTCCCACTCCCATCATTCCAACCTTGCATGACTAATATTAAGGGGAATTGTGGTGATACAACCTAAAGCATTGGGAAAAGTCAAAGTTTCCTCACCAGTGTTCCCTCTAAGCTGTGCAGCATTCAGGCTGAGCAGCTAAGCCAGTGTTGCCGCCCATTTGCTTCTGGTTGCCGCCAGAAACCCTGCCCAGTGCTCCAGAAAGTTAGAGGGAACATTATTCCCCACTTGTGCTTTTTATTCGCTACCATACTCTAACCCAGTAATCCCCAACCTTAGCTCCCCAGGTGTTCTTAGACTACAACTTCCAGAAATCCTGGCCAGCACAGCTAGTGGTAAAAGGTTCTGGGAGTTTTAGCCCAAGAACATTTGGGGACCTAAGGCTGGGAACTACTGCTTGAACCCTATCTGACTCTTCTCACAGAACTGTAACAATTATGCAGTTTCTTAATTGCTCATTCTCATCCATCCTAACATTTTCTAATTAATCATTCTGCTCAATTATCCCAAAATAGTATTTTGTGTAGTTTATGGGAAAAACTACACAAACTACGCAAAACGGAGAATGTATAGTTAGGCACATATTATGACAGGGACGAGACCTGTACCATATATTCTTTCTGCAAATTAACTTTGGTGCCATCCTCCAACTGCCTACCAAAAGGCCATAGGTCAACATGAAGAACTCTGGCTTAATGCACCAGAATGGCAGTCCATCACATGGAGACATTTTTAGACAACTGTCAAAATGGAAAGCCAACACAGTACTGCTACTCAATGGGCAGCCAAATACATAAAGTGCTGCTAAATTAAATTTCAGTACATGTTTGGGAAACATTAAATGTTGCAGTCTAAAGCTAAAGGTGTATCTGTTAGTTTGCAAGGCTCTTTGGACGAAAATATCACCATTTTATGTACAAGTTCAGCATCTCCCTCCACCTACACTTTCACTGTAAATACAACAGAGGGGGGTGTTTCTCAAATTGTGGCTCACAAGCTGCTCATGAGTCATGGCAGCTTTCCATTTGAATCATCAGTATGTCCCTTACAAGTGTGGGAGAATGCTACCCAGAGGTTAAAAGGGAATTAATTGTGCCCGGACTCCCACAATGCAAATGACAGGTGGTGGCTCCCAAAGGAAGACAGATTTCCACTAGTGGGTCTGGAAAAAAAAATGATTGAAACCACTGTAAGGAAAGAAAGATTTATTTTCCACAAAGAAACGGTTCTTTTTTCTCTCTGTGGTTGGTGACGGCTTGATTGAATTCTTAAGGCTAGTGCTGTCAGCACCAATCCCTTTACACTTCGCAATGTAAGAAGACCTATGAGGTCTCTAAGGAACACCCTTCAGAAGTTGCTGGGTCATTTTGTCTTCAAATCACTCCACAATGGAAGTTTCTTTAAACACACAACACACACACACACACACACACACACAGAGAGAGAGAGAGAGAGAGAGAGAGAGAGAAGGATGTACAGGGCTGACTGTACAGTATAAGGATCTGAGTGTACTGACTTATTTGCAGATAATTATGACAATCTTTCTCCTATTATAAAAATTACCTAGCAGGGCATCCAAAGTAGTTGGAAAGGGGATTTAACATTTCATATATTTGTTCTGCTAAATGTTCTCTGAGCTATGAGGAAGCCATAGAAATCAAAGCCCAAGGGCTTGAAGGAGACCCATAGCCACAAATAAATTCTCCATCACAGACTAACCTAAATCTCTTTGTCATTTTTATTTAAATGTAGCCATTCTCTAGGGGTTCACTCCCCCTCTTTCAACTCTCTCTTCTCTTTCTATAAAGCTCACTTCATTTATTTAAACAAGGCTTCTGAGGATGAAAATCAAGTAAGCAATCTTTGTAAAGAGACTTTTGTGATCCCAGCACATGGTTTATCAGAGCACGAAGAAGGCAATCTGGATAAAATTAGTGTCAGTTTTCCAAAAAGGAAAGGCACAGCTGGCTCTGAATTTAAGAGCTGACTGCTCCAGAGCAGCAAAATCTCTTGCACTGACAAATTTATATAGAATGTTAGCATGACTCTCCCGTCAAGACTTTATGTACCATGCCATGCAAGACCAAATACTTTTAAAAAGCCACCTTCGTCATGCATATGTAGCATATTCACTCCCATTCCCAGGCTTCCCTTTCCTAAAGCACAAAAACAAACATTTTAGTGGCTCTGTCTCTCTTTTCCTCACTGCTGCCCCTCTTAGGCATCAAGAAGATGCTCTGGTCCTAGAATGCTGTCCAGCATCTCCGCACAGATAGAAATGTCAAACTTGAAATGGTCATCCCATTTTCATAATGTGACAAGTTTGGCTGAATCTTTCAAAGTATTTTATTGACACTCCTATTAATCCAGAATTTGGTTCAACAACTTGATTCTGTGCATGTCGCTTCAGCTCCACAGCACAAGATCCAAAGTCAGCGTGCATGGAAGTACTGTACTGCCACTTCCCGGGGTACATCTTTGTGATCCACACCCTTTCTTTCTCCCACATTAATATCTGTTTTGCCAATTACAAAAAATAAAAATAAAAATAAATAAAAATCCAGATTTTATTGCTACCAGGGGAAGCAACACACACACCCACACACACACACACACAGAGCACACATAAGTAG